CTTCACAGAAAAAATTAAATGAAAAAAATAAATGGTTGAAAACCATCACAGAAAGTGCTCTTGGGCAGCAAAGAAAACCCAGCAAAAACTGGTAGGAAAAGAAGAATTTATTTGTTTACTGAAAGCTACTGCAGCCAAATCGAGGTTCTTTCCCCGAAGTCAGGTCACAGCACGCAAGGGAAACTGCCCTGGAGTGGTCAGGAAATTTCTGACTCTGTTACTGCAATCTCCTCTACCACCTGCCCATCACCCAAGCAACCCTCTGCCCAAAGGACCTAGATTTAAACCCTCGGGAGTTTCTCAAAGCTCTTCTTCCAACTACGGTGCTCCTCTCATATCCTCAGCATAGTGAGAAAGCATTTCTCGTCATGTGGTGCCGGAGGAGGTGTCCCATATGACTCCTGGCTAGTCTGAAGACGTAAGTGTTGCTCTCTGAATTCAGCATCTGCTAATGGCCCGCTGAATGAAGAACATACAAATTTTTTCTGCTTCAAGGATGGCAACAGTTCCTTGGCAAACCTGAACCTAACAAACCTGCTCAAGAAACGGTACGGACTGAACGGTGTTCAGAAACGGCCGAGGTTAGGATGCAGTTTCACACAGAGCTTCAGCCTCTAACAACATAATGCTCCTGAAAGGGTCATCACTCGCATCACTGCTGGCACAGCTTGCAGCTGTAAAAAACAGATCAACCTGTAAATACAGACAAAATTCATCTTTTAAGGGCACAGGCAGGATGATGCAGCTGTAGCACAAAGGTAAGAGCTGTACTGTCCCTTTCAACAGCAGCAGTCTTAGGTCAGCATAATCCTAAGAAAGAATGCACCAGGTCTGCCATCACAGGGCAGCAGAACTGGGATCCTGCTGCTGACACTTTTTTCAGTGCTGGAAAAAGACAAATGTTATGCTGACAGCTGCTTCCTTCCAGTCCAACTCCATATTCATTATCAAAGGTGAAGTTAATTAAATCTCTCCTAAAAAGCTGCTCAGACAACTGCGATAATTATTTCAAGCTAGGATGTGTGATAATTTATGTAATTCTGTGGGCCCACAGAGCTGCTGCAACATTCACAGGATCAATTCTAGCATTGGTTTTCCACGAAAACCTGATCCATCACACCAGGCAGGCATGATTTAGATTAATGAGGCAGAAAAAGTTGACTGCAGTCCTGCTGCATAGAAGCTTAATTTGCACATCTGTGTCCACTGGGTGGATGGAGATGAGAAAACAAGATGGCATGAGAATCCACGACAGGAGAGTTCACAGGTACTGATTTCTGCAGCAGTTGACTTTGGTCTCTAGCTTAAATGGAAATCAGACCTGAGGAGGAGCCTTGAGAGTGGAGGTAAACGGCTCAATGCACCCAGAAGGAATCATTATATGATATGACATGACCCAGGAAAATGACAGGAGAAAAGAGAAGCCTGGTCCTAAGCCCATTCCCAAGGCTAATTCTTTTAACACCTGATCAGCTACCCTTTCATCTCACTGCAGGTGGTCACCTTCCACCTTGGAAGACTCAAAAGCAGTGGGACCCAGGACTTTTCAGAAGAGCCTGGATTCTTCCCTATTCCTGTGGGGAAGGGATAAGCCAAAAAGACTTGGTTACCTATCTCTCCCTTTCTCAAAGCACATCCCATGAAGGAAGAGTAAGACATGCTCCTTTTTTCCTGAAGGCAACATGATGGGACTTGATCTTGCTGGTTCTGACCACATCAGTTTACCTGTTTTCCATGAGTCCTGGAAGGACATGCAAGTACAGTGCTCTACAGGCACCTCACTGATGTATTAAGGCAGATCTAGTGGTAGTAAAGAGTGCCTGTATCTACAATGCCAGTGGTTAGAGTGAGGTAGCTCACCTAGTTTTTCCATCACCATCACTTAATATTTGTTGGTAGGCCAAGAAATTAGTAACCAGTAAAAAGCTGGTCAACGGACAGGAAGAAGGAAGATACGTATTTGAATGGACATGGGTATTTTGCCATAAAAAGACATCTTGCATTACACTTACAAAGCAATTGATTCTTCTCAAGTCAACGCTTGCTAATGCAAAGTAGGTGATTCTATTTAAAACAGTAATTCTCATTTCATTTGAGCAGGTATCCTCAGAAAGCACAGTCTTCAGTTTGCAATGAGAACGTTTATCATATTCTCTTCTCCCTCATGTTGTGACAAGCACAGCCCACGCACATTTTGTAGACTCATTTGTCTCTGTAACAGTCTCTTCCTCAAGAGTTACAAGTCACTGCTGGGTATTCAGGGCTGTGCTGACAGTACTGTGCTGCTACTGCTGCTCCAACCACTCAGGTGCCATAAAGATCATGAAGGACATGGTTGCTCCTGTGTTCTGCTCTGAACATCATCTTTTTCCCATCTCACCTTTGGAAGAAGAAGGTTGTGCCTTCCTTTGCCTTAGGCTGCCGATTAATCACTGGAAAGTACATTTTCCAGTAAGTCAGAGATTTCTTGGATATACCACATGCACATGAGCAGACCATGTGGTCCATGCAAATTTACATTACGTAAGTCAAGAGCTACCACATCTGCATTATTCACCATCTTTGTACGGTGAACATGTCTAGGTTGTGTCATAGCTCAGGCCGGTCTTTGGTCTTGACAAAATGGGTCCAGGCAAATTTTCTGTATGGTCTAACGGAGTATGTCCAACAGACCAAGTCGTTTGCCATTCCTCTAGTAGCTCAGCCATCTCTAGCCCACTAAAGGAATGGGTTGTCTCAGCTCCTACTTTGATCTGAGGGCTGGGGAGAGATATCTTCAGTCCCCTTCGGGAAAGGAGAGGGATTGTCAACACCTACAGGGCAACAGCAAGATTTATTCTTAGGCCTCAAAATATGTTCAAGCCCCCACACCACAGAGATTGCAGGGTTCAACTCACGTTGAACATCTCCTCTCATCACAAAGGGTCACTGCCTGGAAAAGAGACTGTGGCACTGCCCTGCAAGAACACGTAACCACCAGTCTGGTGGTAAGGGAAGGTGGGAGATGATTCAAATGCTACATCTACATTTATGAGACCAGACAGTTCTGCTAAGGCTTCCAGCTGAACAGAAAACAAAGCGCATTGTGCATAACCACTTGAGAAAGTTCAACTATGGGATTTCAGGTGACTGCAATGAATTTACATAGAGGTGAGGTGAAGTACTCTACTAGCTTAAAACAGCACTGCCTCTCCTCTTCCCTGCTTTAGCAGCTTCTCTTTTACCCCCAATTGCCTTGCATTCAGGCCACCAGCGCTCTATGATGTGCAGATAACACTGTGAACTAAGTTTACCAGGAGGATTTCAAAGGGTGTTAGGGACCTGAACAGGTCGAGAGATCCTGACCTATCTGTCTATACCTCTTGCAGAGCCAGAAGTTGCCTCTGGATTCCCACAGCAACTTTCCCATTGGACCACTGGCATGATTTTCTGCTTCATTATGTGTACTCATTTCCAACTGGATTTTGATGACTTGTCAACTACTGAAAGCGCTGTGACAATTCAAGAATAAAGGAAAACTATTGGAATTTAAACGAAATGGAATCTTTTCCCATGGGTTTCCATAACCACCTGGGTAGGCTGCTAACGCTGATGACCCCAAACTGATCTAAAAGCAGCATAGTCTATTGGTCTCAGAGCAGACTTCAGAGGCCATTCTCTGCCACAGAAGAAAAGAAAACATATAATCCAAAGATGTTAGCATGACAGATGGAGAAGCTCTCTCCACTAGGGAATAATAATGCAAGGACTGCATTGAAACAGGCATTTCTGTTCTAGCCGTATGAACAATCTGGATCAAGCGCTGTACGCTGAGATTGCTAGCAGAGGAGAAAGCAAACACGAAACTATTGCAAGCACGTACGTGTTGGCTCCCAATATACCACAGCACTGAATCAGGCCATGTCCCGCCCCATCAGCTTCTATAAACATCAGGTGGGCTGTCAGGATATAATGCAAGATGGCACCCAATCCAATTTAACCTTTGTTTAAATTAAGTCGGGTATGTCCACTGAGATAGATAGCACTTTCGTGTGCATAGAAAGCAATAGCTGCAAATCTCTCCTGAGGCAGGCAGTTTTGCAACCACACACAGATTCTGTCTCACGGGTTTAGTACCTGCTGTGGAAATCATACATCCTAACAGGACCTGGCTGGCAAGAATTACCACTGGAAGCATGTTGGCCTCATTCAGATGCCAGGCTGAGATGCAGAAGGCATGAATTTGATTCTACTGCAGCACAGATTCCCTGGTGATGCTGGTCTCTCTAAGCATTGGCTCCTTGCTTGATCTCTTGAGGATTATCAGTGCAGGCAAACTAGCCTTGTGAGAGAGATGTCAGGAGTAAAACACACTGTGTGATGCTATGTTCCAGTGCTACACCATCAAGTGGGCAGGTAAGTGTAAGAGCAACTACATTATCCCCTCCTGTCACTCTGAGCTCTGGCCTTCCTTTCCACTAGATTAAAAATTAAATGCAGGGTGACAGAGATTTTAATGAGAGTCCTTTACAGCTGTGGAGGTGTGCACAGGACTCCTCCTGGAGGTGTGTGTGGACATCTGTGAGCCACCAGCAGAAAATCATTCCTCTTGTGGCAAGAGCCCCTGACTTCAGCTCACCAAAGCTGAATTCCTCATTATTTGTGGGCTTTTTTTCTCACTTTTCATGATGGAGGTCAGTTTTCACCCCCGTGGCTTGCTTGCAGAAAGCAGAAGTGTCACATTAGAAAACAAGGACTAGACGGCATGCCTTGAGCCTTTGAGACCCTTCCTTTGGAGTCACAGAATAATACCTTGCACCCTACCTTTCTCAAAGGATCTTCCTTCCTTTTTAATGTGTTTGATTTCCAAGCTCTATGACACATATCTTACCTTTTAAGTGCAAGTAGATTCACATTTAGTATTCAAAGTATTCAAGCTTTGCCCTCAAATTCATCTCTTTTGAGGTCTAAATAACTCCTCAGATCACCTTCATCCTACATGACAGATCTGAGATGTGTACCTCAGCAGTTCCTCAGTGTCCTCCTCAGGACCTGTGTTCAGCACATACTCCGTGTTCTTACAGGCAGCTGGCAGCAGTAGTGAGTCACCCAGTCTTACCACCCCACCAAGGTCTGGATCTTCAAATAATTTCAGATCTAGAAAGGGGAACCAGAAAATGCTGTAGTTAAATCATGCTACATAACACAATACCCACATTATAACTAGCTAGTAAATCTGGCTGCTAGGCTGAAAAAAAAAAATCATGTAGACAATTTTTTATTTCCAAGGACTTCTATTCCACAAAGTGCAGTGATACTCCGCACTCTCAGGACTCAGTAAATCTGCTTTCTTCTTGCACTCAGAACTAGGTCACATTACTCTTGTTAGTGTGGCATGAGTGACTGTGGGACAGTCAGCTCCCACAGACCTATAATATCCCAGCCCACAATGTCAACAGTGAATAGTATGGGAACTACAGGTCTTATCTATTCCTTCTGAATGATTCTAGATGATTCTGCCCCACCTGAAGACTTGCCTTAGCATTCCCAAGTCATTACTTAACCTCTGTATCACTACATTTTAAGAGCTCAGTTACACACACGCTTTAGATAAAACAATCTGTGTATATACAAATACAGAACAGATTTACTCTCTTTCGTCTTCTTCCTGGGACTAAGTGATGAGAAATCTTTTTCTGGGCCAAAGAGTCCTTCATCTGGATCTATTTCCTCTTCAAAAATGGTTAATTTGGGCTTCTCTTTCTTGGTTGGAGAAGCAGATGTCTTCTTTGTTTTTTTAGTTCTAAACCAGAAGAGACAAGAAAGTCAGTTGCAATTCTCCATTTAATAAGAAAGATTTATGGCTAGAAAGTCTCATAAGCTGAAAATAGACGGAGGCTGTGAAAGGACGAGAGAAAGGTACATAGGCATCTGTTAGTCCCTGGGTATTGAGTTGGAGGGACTGTTGGTCTGACATACTCTACCTGTACTCATGTTTCGCGCTCTTAAGAACTATCAAGGAACCCAATGGGAACTGGAAGAGCAGGGCTAATAATGCTGTACTGTGCAAACTACCACTCAATCATCACATTTGTTTTAAGCAGTTCTACTTCTCCCACACAGAAAGCTTAAAATAAGAAATAAGACCAGTTCCAGCCACACTGCCATAGGCAGACAGAAAAGGGATGGGCTGAAAAACAAGGTGCAAGTTGGACCATTGCACTGATGCCTTTGGACGGGTTTTTAAAAATCTCTTTGGATCCATTTCCTTGCCAGTGCCTGCCGCTGTTTTTGACTGCTGCACACTCCTTTCATAAAGGTGTTGGACATGCCTCTTATCCTCCCCAGAGGAAACATGATATGAAGACTACATTACCTTTAAGTCAAAGCAAGCAGGAACTGGGATACTTGTCTGGACAGTCTGCTATTTACAGAACTTACAAATGTCACTCAGTAGTTGCTTGAACAAAGGACAGGATTAGCTTCCTCTAAATTTAGTCTTCTAAACTTGCCAGTGAGACCAAGTTAGTTTTTAGGCTTCTTCTCTAGTCAGTGGAAAGAGACATACATCTTCATGAGACAATTAATTCCATCTATTTCAAACACTGATATTTAGACACAATAAATCTCTGAAGACCTCCTCCTCTCCCCACTGGCTGGAGAAGGAAGCTAAACACTAGTTTGGATTAGAGGCCTCATTTGCACATGGCTTAAACAAGGAGAGCTGAATCCCCTTCCAAGAACAGAGTGAAAAGCATGTGCCTCTTACTCTCATACCTAGGCATCATGTTCCACTAGCTGAACCTACAAGGCAGCTTTCACAGTATGGCAGCTTGAGTTATGAGACAAACCGGATGGCATAAGAAAGAAAATTTAGAGAATGGGACAAAACCTTTGGGTGAAAAGTTCAATTCAAACTAAGCAGAAGACAAGCATTCCTTAGGACAGCATGTCGTTCCTAAGAAACTGTCATATTTCAGAGATCCTTACTCATAGCAGTCATGGCCTTGCAATTTCTAAGGTAGCCCCTTTCAGTGCCTCTTGCCACAGAAGATCTGATCTTCTCCTTTGGTGAGAGCAGGTCAGGTTTCAGCCTACAGCAAACCCAATTATCAGCACTTAACATGCCATAGTCATCAAAAACTAAGAACAAGGTCAAAAGATTACACATACATTCCAACTACATTAAAGAATCTTGTAAAACCCTCTTATTCCGATTACAGCTGCACACCAAAGAGTGGAGTCCAGTTACTTCCACTTATTTTCACAAGTTTATTATCACCAAAATAGAACTCATGGACGATATTACCTTGCCACCACCACTTCACCTCTTAGCAATGGGAAATGCTGCACTTCAGAGGCCTAAGAGCAAGCCCCATGCAGAACTTAAATACGGCCTTATTTGGAAATATACCCTATTCAATACACTAAAGGTATCTGCAGTTGTCAGCAACTGATTTGCTGAAGTATTTATAATACAAACCTTCTTTTTAAAGCAGGAGAAACTTCCATGGCTTGCTTTTTTCACATTTATATTCATTATGGATGTGCCTTGAGTGACTTCTGAATTTGAGCTACTTTTGAAAGGTCAGCTCCAAGAACTGTCTCAAACTAAAGCATTTGTAAAAGAGGCTTCTTCCATAACCTGACAAAATCTAAAGTTGTATGTACATGCCAGACAGCTTTCACCCAGGAATTCTACAGAAACTCAAATTCATTGCTTTATTAGCTGTGGTAAGAAATCTCTCACTCAAATGAACCTAAATATTAAAGAAAAAGGTAAAAAATGAGAGCCGTTATATTTAACAACAAAAGCAGAAGGACAGTAAGACTGAGTCTTTCAGAGCTTACAAATTGATTAAAAATAGAATTAGTAGACACAAATAAAACCAATCTACTGTGGAAGGAGCAACCTTTATTTGCATAATTCATGCCTTGCAAAGTATGCTTTGAGAAGTGAATGACAATATAGAGGAGGATTTGCCCACCTACAGAATGCCAAAAAGCCCTTGACAAGATCTGTTGTCCATTCAGAGAGTTACAACAGCTCTCCTGATGCATAAGAGCCTGTTATGCCACAGGTACTTCCACAGATGAGCCAATAAATTTCCAAGCAACAGGTCTCCACCCTAGTGAAGTTAACCGGGAGTTTACTAACAGTTACCTAAAGTATTTACAGCAAAAAGTGACAGAATGGTGGGAAATACCGAAGAAAGGGAAGAGAACCATAAGGAGCGTCATAAAGAACAGCATGTAAAACAAAATTAATTGAACTGAAAGGTCCTGGTAATAACTCTGTGTTTAGTCTAGCGATCAAACCAGCCCACTTACACTGGCTCACTTTCTGTTTTGCCAGGGGACTCCATTGGCAGTTACAGGGCACGGGGCCAAACCCACAGGGCTTGACTGCTACCAGTAGGAACATGAGGAAGTTGTTTTTCTGCCTTCAAGTTGTTTCCCCTCACTACCCTTCTAAGGAAGCCGCAGTTGGACTGCCAAGTAATTCCAGCATATCCATACAGGGACTCTGTTGAGGTCAGTCTCTAACTGGGAAACAGGATTCCCACGGTTCTGTATTTAGCTGTGCCAGTCCAGGCTGTGCTGAGCAGAGGTTAATGGATGGGAAAGGGTGTGTAAGAAGTTTGGAGCCTGTCTGAGGTTCTGGTTTCACAATCAGCTTCAGCTGCCCTGAGTGTGTGTCTGCCTTCCCACTCATCCCCTCTCTATATGTTCCTGCTACCTCCCCATAAGCAGGGGACCCGGGAGTTAGCTGGAACCGAGCTAACTGTGAAGCCGCATGCTGGCAGGATGCAGAGGAGAAGCTGCAAGGATAGTTAATCCAATGATCGCGATGTGCCACGTGCAGTAAACTGGTGCAGCGATGCAGAGGCTTTTGGGAAGACAGAAATGAAGGAACATTTAGTTTCCCAAAGTATTACTGTACTCAAGCCCTGCACTTCATCAGCACCTGCTTCATACATCACATGCACAACCCTGGCATCTGACATTTTGAAACTACCTGCATCCAGCTGGCAGAAGATGACCCGTGCCATTGCTATTTCTTTGTGGCATAAACAAGTGAACCTTGGAACATCACTCTAGTGAATTTTACAAATCTTAACAAAAACCAAACCAGCCCTAAAGATGATGTATCCTTTGTTCAGCTGAACCTACTTACCCAGTTGAGCTTGCTGACTTCTATACACGAAGCACTGTGACAATGACTCAAATAACACTACCGTCTTCTGCTCAGAGTCCAAAAGGAGCCAGACTGCCCCCGAAGCGACTGTAAAGACTAGCCTCCTAACTGACACAGACCAACACTGGCTGATCAAAAATTAGGGTATGTGAATCCACTTAGTCAGGCTGCTGGCACACTTGAAAATCCAAACTGGCTCCCAATTGATTCTCAAATCACCCATGAAAATGTCAACAAAACCCTGTATGCAGAAGACACTCACTTTCAAACCTAACCCATTTTGTGAGCACAATCCTCATGTTATTGTTTACTGACACAATGTAGGTCACTTGTTTAGCAGCCTCCCTGTCTCACTAGCACATCAATAATGCAGAAAAGCTTTGTGGTCAGCTCTAGAAACCAGCGATGAGGATAACTAAGACACTCCAAAGTCAGAAGATTTCCAGACCTGTATGTGTGATAGCTGTATTTTGAAATACTGGATCTCCAGACCTAATGCTTGGTGACACATAGCTTAAATCAAAGGGCATGTCTATTGTGCTCAATACGGACAGGAGTCCTTAACCCATGCTCACTACTGGGTTAAAATAGTGTGTCATTATACAGAGTAACTATGTGTCATTATTAAGAGTAAATGTAATCTCAGCACACAGGCAAAAATTTTCAGAACTTATTATTCTGAAAATAAGACAATCTCTTTTTTATAGAAATAAGATTATGCACCAGGAAAGGAATGTCACAGTAATATTAAAAAAGACTTATGTGGAATATACATACCTATATTTTAGGTATCCACGGGATTTTACTAGGAAAAAGCTCACTAATACAAACGGACACCCAGCTCCCACAAATCTACGTCCAGGCTTGAACAAAAGAACTACTGCTAAAATAGCAGCAATATTAGCACATCTTCTTGAAAACCATTTCTGAAAAACAAAGAACCTATACACTAGTTCATGCAGAAAACAAAATGTCATCTGCCGCTTTCTTTTCATTCAACAGCGCTCATTTTCCAAAGCTGCCTGATAATGACAGACATGACAAAAGGGGTCATTCTCATCCGCTTTGGGCAACGGATGCCGAATAGAAATTCTAAGCCCGTCAGCTCAACACAGCCTGACTGCTAAGCATTAAGCAACCGTGACAAGTGTCGGCCGCAGGGATATTTTACCTCACACGGTATCTTTTTCTTGTGGACACTACAGTAACTTGCAGTTACTGGCATGTCCCAAAATAAGATAATGCGTAATAGATGGAATAAATCTCCTATTAGAAATCATTTGGAAGAAGAGCATTCAATTGCAGGCAAAGTTTCTCCTGATGCAGCCCCCAGGATTAGGCCAGCCTTGGACTATTGTTCCAGCAGAGCAACAGATGGAAAGAAAGCCTGAAGGAACAGATTTTCGAGAGTTCAGCTCCCATCTAGGGACCTGCTTTTGTGGAGAGATTTTTCTGAAGGGTTCAGCACTCGGGAGTACCTGTTCTTCCTAAAAGAAGCCAAGCTGGTTTTATAATCTGTCCTTAAGCTTTCTGATTATATCCTTTTTCAATATAGTTTGAAAACGGATTACAAGACCACAGACAGACAACTTCTGTTTAATATA